CCTGGCCCTAACAGTTTGATAGTTGGGTGGCCTGAGACTGGTTGCTGCGCATCAGTTTTCCCACATGTAAAATGGGCTGATGTTCAAGCACACGGTGGGCCACCATAAGATGTGAAAGAGCTGATAAGTGGTTAGGGTTTATGACCTGCTCCTGATGCTGCCGAGGTGAGGAGCAGGAAACATTTTCTGTGAGGCCCCAGTGCTAAATGTTTCTGGTTCTGTGAGCATGATGTTTAGTGGTAATTCCAACTTGACGGGTTCTAGAATTACCTGGGATGCGCCTGTGGGGGATTATCTTGATTTTATTACTTGATGTGAGGTGACCCATCTTGATTGTGGAGGACCGGTCCCTGGGCAGGGGCTCCTGGACTGTATATGAGGAGAAAGTCGGTTGAGCCTTCATGTGTTCGCCGCTCTCTGCTTACTGATTGTGGATGCAACGTGCCCAGATGCTTCCGGCTCTTGCAGTTCTCACTTCCTGCCACTATGGCCTGTGTCCTGGGAACTACAATAAACCTTTTCCCCCAGGTTGCTTTTGTCAATGTGTTGTATCAGAGCAACGGGAAAAGAAACCAAGGCAGTGGGCCACAGGTCCCTGTCACACTACCCAATTCCGCTGTCGGAAGCCCCGGAGTGGCCATAGGCACAAGTGAATGGGAGTGTTTGTGTCTCAATAAAACTTTATTTATGGACACTGAAATTAAATTCACATACCAGTATAAAATTCAATATCTTAAATTATTTAAACACACCTGTAATTCCAACAGTTGAGAAATTGTTGGAGGCAGGTGGATCTCAAGTTCAAAACCTGCAAAGGCTAGAGAGGAAGTTCAGGGCCATTTGGACTACGCAGGGTGATACATGCCTGTAATCTTAACACTGGGGAGGTAGAGGCAGGAGGATTCTTTGGGAGTTCAAGGTCAACCTCAGCTACATAACAAGTTTGAGGTCAGCCTGGGCTACTTGAGACCCCCCCTCAGAAAAGGCTTGGGCATGTAGCTCACTGATAGATTGAGTACTTACCTCACATGCATGAGACCCAAGGTTCAATCTTCACTGCTACCAAGAAAAAAGAAAGAGGGGCTGGAGAGATGGCTCAGCAGTTAAGAGCAGTGGCTCCTCTTGCTGAGGACCCGGGTTAAATTCCTAGCATCCACATGGCAGCTAACAACTGTCCATAACTCCAATTCCAGGAGATCTGACAACCTCTTCTGTCCTTCTCCAGCACTGTACACACATAATGCACTTAAATACATGCAGGAAAATACTCATACTCATAAAATAAAAATAAAATAAAAAAAAATTTTTAAAAAGAAAGAAAATAAAAACACATAACTAGCAGGTGGTGGGCTCTGGGTGAGGTGTGAAGATGTGCCCTGTGTGGGTGTCAATGACAGGGCACATGGATCCCCTCTGTCACCCTGGAAGGTGAACAGACCTTGTCTTAGCAGCCCCCCTTGAACCTGGGCAATGAGACTCCAGGTGGGCAGGTCCAGCAACTCAGTTCAGTTGCAGACCCTGGTATTTCGGTTAGTAATTCCTCAATCCAGCACAAGAGTCCGGCCTGGCAGCTCTTGCCTATACTCTCTCAGCACTTGAGAGGCTGAGGCAGGAGGATTTACCATGACACCAGGGCCTTCCAGAACTTTCTTTGACGGCTTTTCCATGAGCAAAGCCAGCCCCACTCAGGTGGCACACTCCTGTCCCCTGAACACTCAGTAGGGCTATAGGGTCTGTTGGCCAGGCTATAATCTGAGCACTCAAAAGGCAGGGCTGGAAGATCAGGAGTTCAAGGTCATCCTTGGCTGCACAGCATCACCCTGTTTCAAAGTCAACAAACAAAAGCCAAAATGACGTTATGGAGAGTCTTTGTGTACCTAACACCAAATCTGAATCCTCCACTGAGGCCCTAAGGGCCCCATATTGGCCTCCCGGACTGCTGGACCCTTCCATCCCTGTGGCTCTCTGCACTGTGTGTACCCAGCATCCTCAGAAGGCCCCTGCCACCAGCCCAATCACCTCAAGCCTTGACCCTGAATGAAGAGGTCTTGAAGTGGGGACACAGAGGAGTTATTTATTGTGCTGAAGTTTGTTTCTTTAAATGGAGAAAGTGAGAACCCAACCTCATGAGACAGCCAACTCTAATGGGAACAGGAGTAGGATGTGTTCTAGAAATGACACCGGCCAGCATCAGCAAACTGGTGTGACTCATAGTCACCACACATTTCCTGGACAGGTATTGGGTCACCCTGTTCAGATGGTGAACATCTAGCCCCTCTCACGCCTTCCCCATTGCCTTGGCCTCCTTGAGATGTCAGGCCCTGGGTCTGGACTCCATCACTTGACTGAGACACCACCACACACACCTAAATGCTTTCTCTTATGGTGGCTTTCGGGAGACTGAAGAGGAGTTATCTTTCTAACACATCATCTGATAGGCCGACTGAGGATTCAGCTGCTGAAGAGTTGCCCTGGGGACACTAAACAACATCCTGCTAGGACCCAGACAGAAAAGACTGAGGTGGATGTAGGTCTCTGAGTGGCACTGCATTTTTTGTTAGTTTCTTATTTTTTCTATTTCTCTCTGGTGTGTGTGTTTACATGCTCCTCTGGGTACATGAGTGGGTGGGTACACGTGCGCATGCACATGTGTCTGAGTGTGTGCAGAGGCCAGAGGTCTACTTCAAGGGTTATTCCTCAGGAGCCGTCCATCTTGTTTGAGACAAGGTCTCTCACTGGTTTGGAGCTCTTCGACTGAGCTAGGCTGGCGGGCCAGCGAGCCGCATACAGCCACCTGTCTCTGGCTCCCCAGTGCTGGGATTACAAGCATGCCCCACCACACCCAACTTTTTTATGTGGGTTCTGGGATCAAACTCAGGTCCTCAAGCATTCTCTCCAGCCCTTTTTCTTTTGTTCCTTTCTTTTCTTTTCTTTCATTTTTTTTAAAACAAAGTCTCAGGTAGCCCTGGCTAGCTTCAAATTCAATATGTAGCTTGAAGCTGGCCTCAAACTCCTGATCCTCCTGTTTCTAGCTCTGGAGTGCTAAAATTACACACCTGGCCACAATGCCCAGCTAGTAACAAAGTTTTCAGTAGATGGAAGAGTGTCACGTGGGTAGGGCTGGCTTCATGCACAGAAGAGGCATCTGGGCTCCAGTATCACAGCCCAACCCATCATTTCCATGAGGCACCAGAATCCAGGTTCCCCTCCCAAAGCCCCTATTGATGTGGCCAAAGGTCAATGGGCCCCACAGGGAGGGAGCAGGTATATAAGGATCTGTCAGACCGGTGGGACAGCATGAGACAACCAGAGAGCATCCTCCAGGCTGTGCAGACCACATTCAGATGTAAGTAACCAAGGAAGGTGGGTGGGAGAGGGTAGCACAGGGTACCGAGAAGAACCAGTGTGCCCAGAACTCTTCAGGTAAGTGGACTTCTGCCCCTCTGCTATGCACAAATACCTAGCTGGGCTTCAGACCTGAAGCCCAGAGTGGACTCTCAGGGGATAGGATGGGTTGGGGTCACACACAGTACAAGAGTAGGAGAGGATTGGCAAGACACCAAGAGCAGGCCAGGAACCCCACAGAGCTTAGCATGCACAGCTCTGCTTGGTACGGTGGCTTTGCTCTGGAGTTAAGAATAAGCTGATCCCAAGAGAGACCCCACAGTGAGTCTCAGCTGCTATAGGGGAGGGGACTGGTCTCCCAGAACTAAGCTGGAGTCCCTGGTAATAGAAGAGGGCAGTCAGCACTCATTACAGCGATAAACCCCCACCCCCTACTTGCCAGAGTGCAAACAAACGTAGGTGACATGCCGACTGCCAATTGGATCAAGAAAATGAACAGCAATTGGATTTTGCCTTTTTTTTTATTGATTCCTATGGAGTGAATTAAATGCAAACACCAGAATGGGAGGGGATCTAAGCGCCTCTGTAACGGAAACAGGAGCAGTAAATGTGACACATGGGTCTCTGCTTTGAGGGACAGTGACCCAGGGGCTCTGCTAGGAAAATTGGAACTGGGGCGGGCTCTGCCACCTCCACCTTCCCTCCATGCCACACCCACCCTCAGGACTCTGCTCGGAAAGTGCTCTTGCCCACCTCCTGGGAATTATGCACAGTTGGAATAATGGCTCTGGTTGTCCTCACCTCTGTGCTCGCTCATGGAGTTTGAACAAAATAGAGAGAAAGGAGGAAGGGAGAGGAAGGAGAGGGTGAGGGACAGGGGCAAGGAGGGAGCAGTGGTGAGGAGGAGGGAGGCCTGCTTGGTAGAGGCCGGGACAGAGGACACAGGTCCTGAAATGAAGCAGGGGCCCATTCCCTCTGAAGGCAGTCTAAGCTGGACTCGGAAGAAGCTTAGAGGCTCCTCCCACCCATGGAACCCAGGCTGAGCACTTTATCTGAAACCTCATCCTCCCCAGGGTGGCAGAGGTCGCCCTGACTCCTCCCCTTGCTCTCTGGAAGTCCCACTCCTGGGCTTAGCAGTCCAGGAGGCAGAAAAGCATCATCCCAACTATATCAACTGGCATCAACTGGCCTGCATCTGACACCTTTCCTCCGCAGACAGAGATGCGATGGCCTGAGGCATAGGGGAAGGACTGGGCCTCAGAAGGCCAGAGCACCAGCCCTGCCCTGCTGCCTTTGAATGAGCCACTAGAGGCTGGCACGCAGCCTAGCCATGCCACTCCCGCTCCAGGACCACCCTGATCCCCTTCCTCAAGTCACCTCTGCAGTTACCATGCTCACCTGTTCCCTGAGCCCTGACACACACACCCCCAACACACTCATAGCCTGTCTTCCTGCCTGCCATCTCACTCAAGCCTTATCTCCTTTTTTGGATGTCAGTGGCATCCTGCCAATACTTTCTGTCCTGGGGTGTCAATAGCCTGCAGGGAGGAGACACTACCCTGTTGCCTATGGGCAATGTGGTCAACAGGCAGAGGATGAATGGGAGCTGGGAGGGCTTGTCCTGAGCCTGTGCTCACTCAGCAGGTGAGAACCCAATGGTCAGCCCTTGGGTACTGAGTTTCTCGGTCTGGCTCTTCCCCAACATGATCTAGAGTTGATGGCCCTGGGTCTGCCTTTTCCATCACCCTAGATAAGGGGCAGGGTGCCCTGAGCTCTGTTGGTAATCTAGAAGCTCTTTCTCTGAGCAATGGCATCCCTCCTGCCCCATCAGGGGACCAGCTGATCCCAGAAGACTTCACCTAGCAAAGAGGAACCACTGAGTGGAATAACACTTCCCTGGGGTGTGGCAGGGGCAAGGCAGCCTTTCCCAGAAGCTTGATCAGCAGTTACTACTCTAGGACAGGGAAGGTGCTCAGAGTTCACTGCAAACCCTGATGTCAGGACCCAGCCCAGAGAGACCAAGCCCTTGTTCAGGATCACACAGCTAGAAGCGGGGCAGGTACCAGAGTGGGGTTCCTGCACTTAGCACTGCGTCCTAAACCCTCTGTCCATGTCCTACTCCAGGATCCCAGGACGGTGTCTGGAAGGGCGGTGGGCAGCCTGCTGGTGGTGCGCACAGCTGCCATGTTAGCCTCCCAGGTTGAAGCCTTTATGCCCATCTTCACCTACAGTGAAGTCCAGAGGATGCAGGTAAGAACCCACTGCCCAAGGAGCTCTGGTCTCTGAGGCACACTCATCCCTTGCTAAGCCCCTGGCCTGCAGGACCAGCAGCAGGAGCACCTGGATACCAGTGGTCTCTCTGTCCCCTTCGCTAGCATCACAGAGCTGTCTGGCTCGCAGGAGCCACATGGCTCCTCTCACAGCCTTCAGAGGGAGTTTGCAATTTACAAGCCAATAAATATTTCCCAGGCTTCTCTGTGGTACCAGAGACTATCCTGTGCCTGTACCTGTGCCTGTGCCTGTGCCTGTGCCCACAGAGCATGAGACCCTTGCTATTTTCAAGAAGCAGACAGCAGTCCCCCACAAACATATTAAAAATGAACAATCTGACACAAAAGAGAGATCTCAAACGCCTGGGTTCCCAGCATTCCAGGGGATCAGGAGTTCAGAACTATCCTCTGCTACATAGCAAATTCAAGGTTAGCCTGAGCTACCGTGTCTCAGAAATTGTCAGACCGTGTCTCAAGAAATGCCCCCTCCAAAAAAGAATGTCCCAGGCAAGTGTGGTCAATGGGTGCTAAGCGCTGGAGTTCAAAGGGAGAAATCCCAGGGCTTCCACAAAAGGTGGACGCTTTCGAGAGATGTTGAGGGACGCCGGAGTTGTGGCCCAGTGACACGACACAGGTTTTCTTCCCTGAAAAGCCCAGAACAAAACAAGGCAGGCCCAACAGAAGCCAGGCGACAGAAGTTGGGAAGAAGCCACTCTGCTTACTGGTACCGTTGACTCCAGACTTCGAGGAAGTCTGGTGGCTTAGCAGATATTTGGGTCGTTTGAATTCAGCAGAAGACAAACTGAAACCCTCTCAACTCACCCAGTCCGAGGCCGAGGCTCCACTAGAACAGGCGTGCGAAAAAGTTGTCTTGGGCTCCAGCCCAGCCTGTCTCCGTGTGTGTAAGGACAGGTCCGCACATTCCCAGGCCATGCTGGATCCAGCTGCCCCTCTAGGACAGGCCCTGAGTGCACCTTCCGCCCACACCATTTGTCACCCACCAGATCAGCAATGAGACTCCAGGTCTGGGGCAAGACAAACCCAAATGTCTTTAGAGGCACCAAAGGAATGGGATGTGTCTGACCCTGGGGACCCCATGTGTGGCAGGCTGGGGCTGAGCAGAAATGGTCCACCTCCAATGAGCATTAATGTGCGCTGTGGTTTTTCTTATTATCGCTGAAGCTGGAATTTTTACGAAGGAACTGCAGACTCCGTTCCCCATAACTCATCTCCCTGCCCTGCCTTATAAATCACTTCCCAGGGACTCCGGGTTCCTGGCCACCCCATGGCGCCCTCTCAGGCTGGGCTGTCTTGCTACCTTTTTTTATAGGCTTTCTACTAAGAAAGACACATTTTGCATACTTAATATGCATGAAGGGTGGCTGTTTATTCTCAGCATTTTAAGTTAATTAACAGTAACAGTCTGGGTGCCATTTTTTTCAAAGTGCCAAGCAATGATGTCTTGGAGGTGGGCTGTTGTGGAGAATGCCAAGGCTATCCTCAAGCCATTGGGCATCTGAGACATACCATGCCGGAGGCAGTGGGGGCAAGGAGTCTCTTGGTCCTAGGGAGTTCAGGCCAGTGAGCAGCCCAGGAGGCTGTGGACAGGCAAGGGCCATCAAGGCAGCTGGAGGAAGGCATTTGTGCAGTGTGATTCTCCATCCTAGGAAAGGGAACAGAGTAAGAGGCAGAAGTCTCTGAGCCCCCCAGAGGAGGCCAAGGGGGTGAATCCACTAAGACCCCCAGGAGACCACTGAGGAAGAAGGAGTCAAACCAATCAAGGCGAGTGGGCAGTGAGGTCTTTGGATGCATTCAGGTATGCAGGGGAGGTGGGAAGGCTGCTGGGGCGCTGAGGGGAGGGAGCGTCTGCTTTGAAACCTGAATAGAGAGCGGGAGCCTCCAGGTGCGACTGGGCAGAGGAGCACCTGGGACCCAGGCCTGCTGCTGCAAGAGAAGAGGTTGGCAGGGCCTGATGTCAAAGCAAGATCACCTGATGTGATTTAGAAAGCTCTGGGGCAGCACCAGAGGAGGCAGGAGACAGTCACAAGGCAGCTGTGTTCTCTGGAGAGAGATGGCTGAGGTGACAGTCTCTCCGCCTCTCCTGGTCAGGAACCCAAAGTAGAGCCTCCAGACCCGGGCCTGGTCCCTCAGTGCTGGTCGGCTGCACACCAGCAGCTGGTCAGCTTCACGGACTCCTTTGTTCAGGCGATGGATGAATGAGTCCCTGTGTGTGCCAGGCACTGGGGACAAAGTAAAGGAAGCAGGCGGCACCCCTACCCTTGAGGGAAAACAGGTAAGACACTAGGAGAGTGGTCACCAGGCAGAAATGGGCAAAGAATCAGACCTATGCATAGCACAGAGTGACAGGTGGTCTGTGGGAGAATGAACCAGAAAAGCAGGTAAAGTGGATTTAATTCTAAATAGCAGGGGCAAAGCAGTGGAGGGGAGAGTGAGGGGAAGCCAGACTGTGGGCTCCACGGTTTAGACTTGGGGTTCACTGTGCTGAGACAGGAGCCCTTGGGGGCTTTTGATGAACTGAGGGACACGGTCTGATTTATGTTTTAATGGAGTTTGACTGGCTGCTATGTTTGAGAACAGACTGAAAAGCAAAAGCAGAATTAGACTGGGGAGGAGGTGGGGAGAGGCAGAGATGACAAAAGGGAGAGAGAGACAGAGACAGAGACAGAGAGACAGAGAGGGAGACAGCGAGGGAGACAGATAGAAGGAGAGAGAGAGGGAGACAGAGAGGGAGACAGAGAGACAGAAAGAGAGAGAGACAGAGAGAAACAGAGAACGAGACAGAGAGAGACAGAGAGGGAGACAGAGAGACAGAGAGAGACAGAGAGGGAGACAGACAGAGAGACAGACAGACAGAGACAGAGAGGGAGACAGAGAGGGAGACTGAGAGAGAGACAGAGATACAGAGAGAGAGACAGACAGAGACAAACAGAGAGAGGCAGAGAGGGAGACAGAGAGGGAGGCAGAGAGAGACAGAGACAGACAGAGAGACAGAGAGACAGACAGACAGAGACAGAGAGGGAGACAGAGAGGGAGACTGAGAGAGAGACAGAGACACAGAGAGAGAGACAGACAGAGACAGAGAGGGAGACAGAGAGGGAGACAGAGAGAGAGACAGAGACAGACAGAGAGAGAGAGACCCCCATGATTTTGGAGACAGAAGCCCACAGCATTTTCTGGAAGGTTGTGATATAGGACTTGAAAAAAAGGAAACATATAAAATGAACTTCAATGGGAACTGCATGCATGGTGCACTTACATACATGCAGGCAAAACATTCATACACGTAAAATAAAAATAAAACACAACAGTAACAAAAAACTTAAAAAAAAAAATCTTAGCCTCTGATCCATCCCTCCAGCCACTCCACATCTCCATCTCTTATAACAAAAAACTTAAAATATTATTATTTTATGTGTATAAGTGTATTGCCTGCATGTAGGTAAGTGCACCCGTGTCGTGCAATGCCACGGAGATCAGAAGAGGCTGTCGGATCCCCTGGAACTGCAGTTACCGACAGTTGTTAGCAGCCATGTGGGTGCTGGAATTCAAACCTGGGTCTTCTGCAAGAACAGTCAGTGTACTTAACCACTAAGCCATCTCTCCAGGCCCCAAAAAAACTTTTTAAAAAATGGACTTCCAATGCCAGGCATGGTGGTGCACGCCTTTAATCCCAGCACTTGGGAGGCAGAGGCAGGCGGATCTCTGTGAGTTCAAGGCCAGCCTGGTCTACATAGTGAGTTCCAGGACAGCTGGGGCTACAGGGAGACCCTGTCTCAAAAAGACAAGAACAAAAAAAAAAAAAAAGACTTCCAGGTTCATAACTGGAACAGCTGGGAAGACTGATTTTGCCCTCCCTGTATGGCCAGAGGTGGAATGTTCCAGGCCACAGCAGTGAGCATGGCATTTAGGCAAGAGAGACAGACACAACAAAGATACCGGATCATTCAGGCCGCAGAGAAGGGAGGAGAATGACTGAGGTGGTCAACAGTACAGGCCAGGTGAGGACTGTGAGGCCTGTGCCAGGTCAGAGGAGTAGGTCAGAGGAAGATGAAGATCAGGAGGTCAGGCTGAGCCTCTGAACTGTGAGGCACCATTAGCATCCCAGGGGAGACCGCTAGCCAGCAAGGTAGAACAATGTCTCTACAAGTCAGGAGAGAGGTGGGGACAGAGATGTGGGCATCAATGGGGTGAGTGGATGGAATTTGAAGTGGGGTCCTGGGAGCCTGGGAGTGACAAATGGGGGGACCCATACCAGAAACAAGTCAGCTCCTGGGCTCTCACTGGTCACACAGGTCAGCAGGTGACAAAACAGGTGGGGCTCCTTCCTGCCCACATCCCCTCTGACTTCCTGGGGCTCTGAAGAAAGGAACTGAGAGTGAATTCAACTCTTAGTTCCAAGATGCCCTGGGGGACACAATGTGAGTTGCTGAAGGTGTGGGACCAGGACACATCCTTCCCAGGGACTCCGGGAACACTGCATCTCCCCAGCTGCCTGCGAGGTCTTTGGGGGTGGTGCAGCCTCCTTCCTTCACAGTGGAGCGGGTGGGGCCTCCCACTTTCGAAGTAGGAAGTCCCCCCTTCACCATGGCACTGAGAGGTTTCCTATGGAGAAAGCTCTTAGGACGCATCTAGTACTCCTCATGTTCCAGTGTTCCTCTGATCATGGGGCAAGTCCCTCCGACAAGGAAAACCCAAGTGGGCTCCTTCTCACCGCACCACCCACTCCTGTCACAGCCTCCCAGGAAGCCCCAGTCTGCCTTCCCTCCAGGCCCCAACTGGAGAAGGTGCCAGAATTCCCAACCCGCTCTAGAGGCCAGGGGATGAGGGAGGGGTTAGGGTGATGCTCCTGTGGGTTCCTCCTGCCACCTGTAGGGCACCTGGGGGTTAGCACCCCTCCGCCTCACCCTGCTGGTTAACGCCGCCTTATTTCACAGTTGACTGCTCCCAGGAAAATTGAAGAGAGGCTGACCTCCAGGCAGCTGGAAAAGTACCCGGCCGCCCTGGAAGGGTTGCTGAGGGAGGCACTGCCTCTGGACTGGCTCGGTAAGCATGGGGAGAGGGCATCTCTGTGCCGGGGGCCGGCTGGCCTCCGCCCACCCTGGCGTTAATATTCTAGAAGGCACTCCTGCAGACTTTGAGGGTGGCGATTTTTGTTTCCGATTTGCACTTGATTTGTGTCCTCCTTAGCAGTGCAGAGCGGGTAGCAGCTCTGCCGTGCGGGTGGCCATGGTGCCGGACCAGCCCCTTCCAGATGACCTTCCGGTGGAGACCAGGGCAGACCCCCATCTACCCAAGCCCAGATAGTTTCGTTCCCTCCCAGATGCCGTGTAGACTGGACTCGGGAAGGGAACCCTGCCTGGCTTCTTTTCTCATTCATTTCTGGCATCCATTTGGCCTTGCCTAGTTCAAGGTCTGCTCCAGTTAGCTGTGCAAAGCTAGATCTTGTTTGACAAACAGCCACTAATTACCTCTCCTGGTTCCCGGAGGAGAGGAGAGATGGGGAGGAGGTGGTGTTCGGTGTTCGAGACGGAGAAGCCTGGAGGTTAAATGGCTTGCCCCAGGCTACCAGAGCTCCCAGAGCCTCCCACCTCCTGGCTCTGGGCCAGCCCAGCCCTCTCTCCTCCCTGGACCAGCAGGCCTGTACTCCTGCCCTGCATCCCTCCTCCCTGAACCTGCTGGCGGGGGGGTTGATAAGCAAACCTGTGCTTTTCCCTGCAGCTAAGTGATGGCACTCCGGAGAGCAGGTGGGCCCACCTGGAAGTCCCACCCACCCCGGGAAACCTGTGGTTCTGAAGTGGGGGCTGGGGGAGATCTCTTAAAAGCAGATCCCTCACCAGCAAATAAAGCATGCACTCCACAGAGACACCTCTTTTATTTAATAGTCTAATTTCCAAAGGGCAAACGGGTCGTGAGAAAAGGGGGTGGGGTGTAGCCCTCAGAGAGCCCACTGCAAATGTCGCACACATTAGTGAATCACATGCCTTTGGTCAAGTTCAAATGTTAACTCAGAGGGATGGAATGGAAAGATGTGACTGGCCCTCCTGTGGCCTTTGAGGCAACTGAGGCCCAGAGAGAAGGCAGTTTTGTCCACATAAGTCTAGCGCTCCTGAAACCCAGTCCATTTTCTGTTTTTAGGGATTTTAAGGCCTCTGCACTCAATCCCTTGCTGAGTAACTTCCAACCAGCCCTTTAACTTCAACGAGGCTTTGATAAGCAAGGTGGTAATATCTGCCTGGAAAGCTGGCAACTGAGGCCCAGCAAACAGCAAACGATGTCACATTGTCACTTTTCGATGACAGTTTCCAGCGTCTGCAGCACAAACGGCACAGCCAACCCACTTTGTTCTGCTTCCTAAACAGAACTGGATGGGAAATTTCATTCTAATTTAATTTTATATTAATGAATGTTCACTTATTTATAAACTGGGGCCACAATGAGTTCCAGCTCTCACCAACCATAGGTTACTGGCAATTAGACACATATCCCTGCCACCCACTGGTCCACCCATGGCCAGAGAGGGCTTAGCCTTAGAGCACTCTATCTTGGGATGCTCTGAATTCCTCTGAGAATGCCCAAAGATTCTGTGGGACCAGACCCTACCAGACCCTACCATGTTGTACCCCCCCACACCTCAGGTGATTTTGCCACACTGTCTTTTCTTTTTTAAACCGGGATTCAGTTGGCCAAACACAGTCCCCAGGAAGGGTACAGTGCTGTCTTTTCTACAAAAAAAATGGTTAAAAAAAAAAAAGGCAGAAAATCCTTGTTGAGTGGTTGGCTCCACACCTGGTGGTCCTGACCCTAACCCCACAGCCGGGTTTGCTTCATGGTAATAAGTCACAACAGGGACACAGCAACCACTCTATCCGTATGCACAGTGCCCTAGTGCCTGTGAGATGTGTCACTTCCTGCCACAGTTCTTTTGCTCACAATTGGATCAAATAAGTGTGCAAGTTCTTCCAGCTTCCTGGACAGCAGGCTGGATTGCCTCCGGGATGCGTGTGAACCCTGGAAGTAATGAGATTTGGGCAGAAGGTTGGGAGGATCCAGAAGCTGAAACAAAACAAAATGACCATCTTTTCAGAAAACAAGGGAAACACAGGGCTGATTAAAAAAACACTCTAGAATGGGGGCTGGAGAGATGGCTCAGCAGTTAAGAACACTTTGTTTTTGCAGAAGACCTAGGTTCGAATCCCAGCACCCACATGGCAGCTAACAACTGTCCGTAACTCCAGTCCCAGGGGATCCGACAGCCTCTTCTGCCCTCCTCGGGCACTGCAGGACATGGGTGCACTTACCTACATGCAGGCAATACACATGTACACATAAAATTAAAAAAAACTCTAGAATGGAGCGGGAAAGATGGCTCAGTGGTTAAGGCCTGCTTTTCCCAGTACCCATGTCAAGTGGTTCACCCGTAATTTCAGTTCCAGGGGATCTGATACCCTCTTCTAGCCTCTGTGGATGCACTCAACATCCATACACAGACACACATAATTAAAAATGTTTTTCTTATTTGATATATTTATTTTTACTTTATGAGTGTTTTGCCTGTGTGTGTGTAAGTATACCATGTGCATGGAATGCCTTGGAGGCCAGAAGAGGGTGTCAGGTCCCATGTAACAGGAGTTAACAGGTGGTTGTTAGCTGCCATGAGGGTACTGGGAACCAAACCAGAGTCCTCTGCAAAAGCAGTCGGTGTTCTTAACTGCTGAGCCATCTCTCCGGCCCCAAAATACAATATATTTTTTTTTAAACCTCTAGAGAGGCTGGAGAGATGGCTCAGCAGTTAAGAGCACTGACTGCTCTTGCAGAAGACCCAGGTTCAGTTCCCAGCATCCACATGGCAGCTATGAACCGTCCTTAACTCCAGTTCCAGGGGAATCTGAAGCCCTCTTCT